TATCCCTTACTTGAGGACAGCCATGCCACATATGCGCTAAGAGATTATCTGCAGTTAATGACCGGAGTGTCAGTAAAAAAATGCAGATTCACAAGTATGGTTACTTTCATTGATTCAGATTCTTAGATTCGTATGAAGTTGATAGTGCTGAGTTATCATCTCCACTCGATCCACAACACCAGGAGCGTTTTTCGATTTTACTGAAAAAGTTCTTATTAACTGACTCTCTGCTAAGTAGGTTATCATTACATTATATTTTTCCCCAGAATTTGCTACAGATCAAACAATTTGCCCCCTTCTTCAGCTGATTTCGATTATTTGTTCACAGTTGTCCCCAGAAGACCTTCCCAAAATATGTGAATATATTCTTTCTTCTAAACTCCTAACAAAGATATCGGATGGCAGGTAGTATTTCTGTGTATTCTATCTAGCTTGGTTGGCGAAGATTATTTTTATCAAGTTATAATAACTTTATGCATCATTGAGGTGCAGATGGGTGTCACTGCCTATATTCTTTTATTCTGAACGCCTGGGTAATTTTTGTCCATTTTCTCTGGATCGTTGTATCACTTCGTTTTCAATGATTGGACTATATTTCGACCTACCTATTTAAAACTGTATGCGGACATATTGGCTATATTTCGTTCCAACTCGCCTATACCAAATTTGAATCTATGCTTAATCCGCAATTGCTTCTTTTCTTATTATAATTACTTAAATTACGTCCTTCATTATGGTAAGAAGGGTTAAGTGACACAATTCACCTTGTTATGTATAATTAAGCTTTCTTAGTCCTAATATTTTTTTCGCAAAATTGTTCATTTATATCTCTTAATACTAATGCATTTACGCAATAAATCATGATTACTTGGTGCCTCAATTTGGTCTTGTCGATATTTTCCATTTAAAGTGGTTCTTTTCCATTTCGATTCTTGATTGAATACTTATGTGCGGCTATTAACGACTATAACGCACCTCGAATATCGTTTGCTATCTAGCACATATCTCTATAAGGACTTTACGAAAATGAGACAAATAATTAAGCTACTTGTGCCTTTAACTGAACCATGAACTGCCGATTCTTTAGCCATTTTCCAGTTGGAATTTCCCATCCAGTCGCAGTGTTTCTTACTGAGGCTTTGGTCAATGTCCTGCCCCCATGCCTGTTTAAGGTATTCTTCAAGAACATTCTTCTTGGTCTACCTGCACAACCATCCGGAGATTCAGAGCCTCAGAAAATCAACCGGCGACTAGAAAAGATGAATTCTGACGATCCCCTGTTTAGAGAAGTTGCGCTGCGATTCATCTACATGGCTGCTCATCCTTATGCCAGCCGAGTCGTGCGAGCTGTCATTTTGCGGTTACACAAGCCTGACCTTGCCACCGTGCTCCGAATGTTTTCAATGGAAGTTTTTCCACCCGTTTCTTTAGTTACCACTACTGCAGTCATGTTACCCTGTGACAGCGGATGTGTTAACGAGGAGTCTGTAATGGGCCTCAAGTTGGTGTTTATCAAT